CACAATACTGATAAGTAATTAATAAAAGTCAAAAGACCAAAGAGGTCATCTTAATACCAAAAAAAAAAAAAAAATTTATTCATTATATTAATTAGCATATATAACATTGATTTATATAATTAATATAAATGTTATTACTATTTGATCTTATTATTGTATTAATTTTGAATTATCAAATAAATTATAAATAGTTTGCAATTATGAAACCATGCCATTTTTTTGTTACTACTAACCTATCTTTATTTATTTACTTTTTTTTTACTATATTAATGTTTTACTTTTATACAACTAATTTTAAGCTTAGTTATTTTTATTTTATAATAAACTTAAAGAACTATTTTTTTTAATATCTTAGTAGCAAATTAACTAATAGTTAATATTAAACTTTTATAATATATAAAATTTTTAACTTCCATCTTAAGGTTTTACAAGATCTAGAAATACAAATACAATAATTAAAAAACACTTTTTTGCAAAATTTTAAAGAATAATATATAACTTAAATACAAATTAGCATTATTAGAATTAGTTATAAGTTTTTAAAATTAGATAGTATAATTGATATTGAACCTTTCTATAACAAGTTTCAGAATAATGAACTCATATTTGAAATTTCACAATAATTTAGTATAAAAAATGCAGTAGGTTCTTAAGAAGACATAATAATTTTCTATTATGAACTTTTTTTTCTTCAATGCACATAATCATTCAAGATGTGTCTACATATTATGCAATCCTCTTTACAAGTAGATAATATTAAATGCAAATGCAAAAACGAGAGTGTCAAAAATCATTGTAAATAAACCCAGTTGGGTGTTTCCATCCCACTAATTAGGCTGCATCCACAATTTACGTTAAACCAATATTGTCATAAGGATTGTAAAGATAATACTATATGGCATTCACTATTTTTTACAATAATAGTTTAATGTAAATTGTGGATGCCGCCATTATACATGTAAAAACTACATGTAATGTTTTTCTAAAACAAAGTACTCGATGAAATAATTTGGAATACACTTAATTTTATTGTGTTAAATTTCAACGTACAGCATATATTAAATTTTATCTAGAAAAATTACTGAACAATTGAATATATATTCAATTCCTACCGTAAAATCTCGGAATAGCGGGCATGGGCACTATTTCGAATTTTGGCCAGCATTAAGCTTAATTCAGGCCAAAATTCGAAATAACGCTATTCACGGTTCAAATTTGGACTATCACTATGTCCAAATGTCCAAACGTCCAATTAATTTGAACATAGGATCTTGTTTTGGACAAAAATCGATCATGTGTAACGTGATAGTCGGAACAAATGTGTTTTATTTTCTAATAAGTAAAAAAGTTGCGTGTAAAATTTATTCTCGTTTCAAGTTACGTCATACCTGTTCTTAGAATTCGATTGGTAAAAATTGCAGGGGCGAACAGTTTTTTGTAGGTGAGTTAGGGGGTTGGTACACCAGATTAACAAAAAGGATTCCATATAAATTTTAACATTTCAGAGTTATCTGAGATTTTATTTTTTTTTTTACCAATTTGACTGATTTGTTTATAGAAAAAAATGAGTCAAAATAGAAGAAAATCCAGGAGAAAAAGAGATCATCCAGTTTGGGAATATTTTTCTTCACGTAATTCAGATTCCGATCGTATTTACTGTAAAGAATGTAAAGATCCCCTATTCTCTTATAAATCCAATACGAGTGTTTCTAATCCTAAAAGACACTTTATGTTATATCATAAAGAAATTTGGAGCCAGATCGAAAGTGAATGTAACAAGACATCTGATAAGAAACCTCAGAACATATCAATGAATGATATGGAAACTTCAAGCGCATCAACAAGTTATGCTGGACCGTCTAACTTTCCAGCTAATATGGAATCCCCAAGTGTGTCAGAGAATGATGTGGAATCTTTGGATGTGTCGACTGCTGAAAAAGAAATTAAAAGTTATACTCTTAAAAATCTCAAAAAAGTTGGCATTAGTGGATTTGTTCCTAAAAATGCTAACGAAGTATATTTAGAAACGGAAGATAATAATCTTGAGATTGAAGTAAAAAATGTGAAATCTTCAAATGTGCCAAATGGAGGAAAAGAAATTAGAAAATACACTGTTAGAAAGTTCAAAAAGGTTATAGTTGATGGTATTTCTTATAAAAATATTGACGAAATATATTTAGAAACCGAAGATGAAATTGATATAGTTTAATTATTATTTTTTTTTCACCATCATTCTATTACACACTAAATGATAGTTTTTTTTTCAAATAGATTAAATCTTTTCTCTCTTTCATTTGAATTTTTCCTTTCGTTCGAATTTTTTTTCGCTCAAATAATGAACCAAACCGATTTTGATTTTACTTCGGCTATGCAATTATATAATTTGAGGTCACATGAACAGATAAATAATTCTTTTGACTCTGATGCTATTTTTGACAAAGTTGAAATTAATGATAACACAGTAGATCTTGTTAAAAATAAATATGAAGAATTTTATACAGTATATTATCATTGATTGCTTATTTTCGGATACAATTTATTATGCCATCGCAAAGCGAACATCATACGATAAATTATGCAAATGTAATAGTACTTGAACTTGGGTCGATACAATAAATACCGTAAAAGGTCATACAAGATTCCCTTTGATAGTAGACCTACTATTAATTAGACCGTGTATGAATCGCAGAATCTCTATTAAATAAATGCAGATGTTTTTAAAAACCTAGACTGCCTATTATAAATGCAAAGTGAGTATGCACTTTATAATTTTACTTTGCTGTAATATACAAATATTTAGGGACAAATTTTGTGGGGTGATATACCTTGATAAGAGCCAGTTTCTCAACAAATGATGGAAAAATAATGTTGGCTTAATACAATCACAATAAGTAAATAAAAGCAATCACTTACTTATAATGAGATAATTCAAATATCGAATAATGAAAGTCTGCTGGAAGACTCATCAGCTTCTACGTATTATATTCTTGTGTCTTCAAATTTGATCATGCTAAAAATGGGTGCAAAATCAAATACCACTGATGTGCATGAATATTTTTATATTAATGTTTCATCAAGAGGATCATTGGCTCTAGGGCACTCACATGAAAAGATGATTAGAGACATTTCCTTTCAATAGAAGGAAGCGTAATTCAAAAACTGGTGTGGCAAATGATCGTATAATGGCATTTAATGGATACTGTTCAATCAGAGGAATTGCTTCATATCAAACATTTACAAAAGAAATAATGAATAATACAATTTCAATACCGAATCAAGGTTCAGGCAGGTTTATTCATAAAATTGCTTGATGCAAATTGGAAACAACAAAATAAAATCGAACTAGAATTTGATACAGATAATCCAGGAAATAAACAAATAAAGACAAAGACAAATCCCATTGTTTATGAAATTAGAGAAACTGCCTTCTTATTAGTTGATGATATACTATACAACATTGTTACTCGAGGATTCCATTAATACGTAGTTTCTTTCATTAAGATATTTTCAATTTTAAACATGTGTATGCGCATAACTCCGTCTTACTGCTGTTATTATAATTCCTGGAACACCTGATAAAAATTAGCCAAATGTTTTTTTGGCCGATTCGGTTAGATTTGTAATTTCGGCATAATAGATCCAATAAAATTACAAAATTGTACAGCTATTATCATAATTTCTGGAACACCTGCTCATTACCTGAAATATTTTTGGTCATTTGGTAATTACCTAGCTCTCCGGAAACTACATCGCTGTCTTCGGACCTTCAGTCCGGAGACAGTGATGAAATTTCTAGAGCTAGGTAATTTACCGAACGAACAAAAAGATTTCGGGTAAGGAGCAGGTGTTCCAGAAATTATGATAAAGTTGTAACTAAAGCACTATTACACATTACTATACTTTATATGCCAGCTCTATGGAAGTTTTGGCCAACGTTATTCACATATCAAAAATTACACGTTAGAAACTTACTCGTAAATTTATGCAAATTACAATAGTTTCCACCCTATATATAAAGGACATAAGCAGATTGTCATTTTAAAAAAATTAATACCTTAACTTTCACTACTCATTTCTCAATGAATTTCGAAGCTATTCTCATGAATGAATAGTCAAATGAAAGTTTAAGATCTATAGCTTCGAAATTCATCGAGATATGAGTAGTGAAAGTTAAGGCATTGATTTTTTTTAAATTGTGATTTCTATTGACGGCAGCCCATATGTTACATGTTATACTTGTTTGGCATTATAAACGTCACAGTTCTGAACTTTTGTAAATGCCATCTCTGATTGGACAAAGTAGACCTACGCCATTCTTTGTCTACCAATCAAATAATAAGATCAATTGTAACGTTTTTTCAAAAATCACCAGTAACTTAAAATTTTAGTTACAAAAGTTCTAACAAAAAAGATTTCTTGTATAATATACGTCCTATTAGACCTTTATACGGTTTTAATTATATTTCCATTATTTGATCGAAAAACAGGAATTTTCTTCGTCCAATAGGAACTAGTAAACCATATGCTGAATTCACTAACTTAATCGAGGCGTTTCGGAAATTATGATAATAGCAGTAAAGCATAAGTTATTGACTTCTGAATGATCGGTATGTATATAAATTACGTTACATACAATGTTGTCAATTTCTTGTTCTATTGATAAAAATTACATTCTATTCTAATTTCTATTGCTCGATTCTATTGTTCTATTTATTTATTTGCTATATGAATCTTTAATTATAATCTTGTTGGCAATTTTTTGTTCTATTGACAAAATTTTTATTCTATTCTATATTCTATTCCTTTATTCTATTGTTCTATCTATTGCTGTCAACACTGGTTACATACATCTAGATTGCTGAAATTTATATGTTTTCGCACAAATTAAACACACTAAGCATGTTGGGCAAGTACTCAAATAAAAATTCAATAATATTGAACGTGTCGACACTTACAATGATCTGTAGAACAAGTATCATATGTCTTTTATATATTAGAAATTTGAGTTTACGTATAATGTAATTTTTGCATGTAAATAACGTTGAAAAGTTATGTACGCGCATATGTACCGTACAATTTTGTAATTTTATTATGTCTATATACTATGCAGAATTCACAAAGTTTAATCTAGTCGGCCGAAGCATCGTTTGGTCAATTTTATCAGGTGTCCCAGGAGTTATGATTTTTCGGCCGATTCGGTTAAGTTATTGATTTGGTGTATGCAATACTTGTTCTACGAATAATTTTATCATTATAATGGCACATTCAAATTATTAATTGTCACGGCTGAAACTCGAAGTTTAATTACTTTAAGACTATTGCTAATTTTCACCCTAGGTGTTACACCTGGTTGTATAAAAACCAATCAGATCAGCGGATCTTGTAGAACCAAAGCAAAGTAAAGAAAAGAAAAAAAACCAAATAACTCAAATAACTCAAGATTTTATTATAAAAACTATGCTTCGACTTCTAAGCAAAAATTTTTCAGCATCAAATTTTACATGTAAACAGATCCTTCTAATCTGATCTAAAGCCAACCAACCCTAACCCCTAACCTTAAATTTATTTTACTTGTAATAAAAATTTTATAATACCGGGTGATTATCACCTAGGGTGAAAATTAGTTATAATCTTAGAAATTTTTAGAAATTTTTGGGGTGTCTTTTTTTTTTTAATAGATTAGGGTTTAGGGTTAGTTTTGATGATAAAAGAGTATAAGTGGATTTGGTATGGTTTATATTTAAATCGAGGTCACTGATTTCAAGCTTCGGCCGCGACATTAATGTTTGTTTTAATACTTGCTCAACATGTTTTGTTACTTAGTTTATAATAAACATATTACACGAATAGACACTAATATTAAAAAAGTTTGATATAGTCAAGAATTTGTTGACTGGTTCAAAATGTAACTCTTTGAAAATGCTTGAAAACTCGACTTGTAGAAGTCAGCTAACACCTAAGTGTTTAGCAATTTTCGAACTAATAAAATTTTTTCTTTTAAAGTATAATAGTTTCGAGTAATATATAAAGTAGTATAGTTTATACTCATATGTATGTTTAATAACCAGACTTATCATATAGATAGTCATACTTATACATAAGTGTGCTACATATGTTGGAATTGACTGCCAAAAGTGTTGTAATGAAGCATGACGCAGTGACCCAGAAATTTGGCTTTTGATTTTATTTTCAAAACATACAAAATTTTTTTATAGATTTTTTAAAAAACTCACGGATATTACCGTTGTCCTTCATGATTAAGACCTGGGTATTACTATATCTCCAAATATAGTACCCGGTTCTTCACGGGTACTATTCAACTTTAAAAATGAGAACTGATTTATTAAGGTTGTATTACCTCATTGTTTGCATAATTTTTGACTAGAATTAACTTTTTAATTTTTTCATTCCAAAAATATAAATTTTGAAAAATAGGTTCACACTATAGTAAAATTAACCCAGAAATATTTTTCACTTCATGAGCGGTCATGAAAGTTAGGGTTAAAAAAAATGTTGTGGTTGTGTTATAATCTATGCACGGTTGAAAGATGATAGTTATGTTTTTATTCTTGTATGTATATTGATTCAAAGTAAGATCTTTTATATTAGGGATGTGGTAACTTAGTGAAGTGGATAAGTTGTCAACCTCCCAAGTGGTAGGTTGTGAGTTCAAAACCTACCAATAGTGAAAATTTGAATAATTACTTATGTAATACATAGATAGTATTATGATGATAATATTCTATTGATCAGTTAAAATAAGATACCTGTAACTATAATCACATTAGCATGATTAGTAGGTCACAAGGCATCTGTGTAATCTAAGTTATACAGAGAGATGCAAACTAGTACTAGGCAGTATAAATCTAAAATAAGTTTTTATGATTGTATAAATTTATAGAACTAAAAAATCAGAACTTATTTAGAAATACTAAATAGAAAAGAAATACAGATCTTTGACAGTATTACTATAAAGATTAGATCTAGAAAATAGATATCAATATAGAGAAATCAGACAGACAAGAATCTTAGATAAGAGATATCATCAATCAGATTATCAGATTTCAGATTAGAGAAAAAAAATATTAGGTTGGTTTTAATATACTAAGAACAAATCACAATTCTTTTAGATTATCTGAATTAGGAGTCTGAGAACAAAAATAAGAATATACTAAAAGTATTAGAGATATGTTATAAAGTTAGTGCTGGAGTTTAGTTAAACTCTATAAGGATAGTTCTTGTTAATGTTTTATAAAATGAGTAGATAATTAATAAAAAAGTCTGTCTGTACTTATTAGCAGATATTATACTTTAAAATATATAATAACCTAGAAACTAATACAAAAAGAATAGGTATTATACTGTTCAGATAATATACTAATTAGATATATATAAGAATTAGTTGATGCTACATCTTGACAAGATGAATGATCAAAGAATTTTTTTTTTTAATGTTAAGGTAAGTACATGCGACCCAGGATTTTACTGATAGTATAAGTTGGCCAGCGCCTATACATGTACAGACACAGAGGCAATTACAGAAAGAGTGTACAACTAGCCACTCGTACAACTTTAGTTATTGTCTAATT